TACCTATCGGGCCGATAAAAAAATTCCACCAAGATGCATGATACCCGATAGGTATCATGCATCCCTAATCTCTACAGTTATGCTGCTATAGGCTTAGACTGCTGGAGGACCCCTTTTTCATCATTCTGCTTCATTCTGTCTCCATTCTCCCACTGCAGAATTAGTTAGTTCAGAAATCCTGTAGAGAAATATCAGCTGTGATGCTGCCATCAACACCTTTGTTTATAGATGTTGGAGATTTCCCTGTTTTTGAGTGTAGTCCTGTTTCTCTGACTGTGACTGGTTGGATGAGCTCTCTTCCATCCTCTGACATGGGAGTTGGCTCCGATCATGTCTGCCTGGCTGTGTGTTTTCTGGACGGGTCCCCCTTGTGGAGCTGGTTTACAGTTGCCTTTTTTTATTTCTGCTTCTTTTTCTACGTCTGCTTCTTTCTCCTTGAAAGTCGGCCTTGGCAGATGGCCGCTCAAATTGAGTATGTTTCTGCTGGCGGTTTCTTGCTGTTAAAAAGTAGTTTGTCCTCTGTACTGTCACTACAAGCATTCCAGTCAATGAGTCCATGCAATCAACTGGTTTTCCATAATTCTACTGATCGGGAGCATATCTATAGTAAAGAGAACGGTCCTAGCACTGATCCCACATGTAACCCAGGAGAATGAGGACGATTCATCATGAACGTGAACAAACTGAAATTGATCAGATGAGATTTAAACCAGTCTAGTGCTGTTCCTTTAATTCCAACAAAATGTTCAAGTCTTTCTAAGAGAATATTATCATCAACTGTATCAAATGCAGCACTGAGAACTAACAGGACACATACAGATACAAGTCCATTATCTGAGGCCATGAAAATATCAGTTGTGACAATTCACGATGGATCCTACCCTTATACTATTGGATCTTGGAATACTCGTCATCAGTATTCCAAGGAGGATCGTTAATGAGTTTTAGCTTCAGACAATCCCTAATAACCTCTTATTTTATTTTACAGAATCAACACACATTGTTGTTCCTCTCTACAGGATACATTCAGGAAATTGATCGCTGAGAAAATGTTCTTTCCACACATATGCTAATGTGTGATGATATTTTATTAGTAAACTCCCTGACAGAGCAGAGATAGCAGGAAGAGTGATGGAAAAGCTGAAATTAAAAATCATTATTAATATGGTTCAACCATCAGAGCCCTCCTTTATGCCGTCTATTGGAGTTTCTTTAATTTGTCTGGTCAAATTAGTTTTTCTTTTCTTCAGAGCATCTTCAGTTGGTTTGGTCAAATGTCTTTTTTTTCTGCAGTGAAATCAAGTATCCTCCTCTTGAGTGATACGGCTGAGTTACTTTGCTCTTCTGTGATGGGGAACCCAGATAAGTTATCAGATGAACAGAACTTGGCT